TAAAGGTAATCTATGCAGTTAAAAGGTTTCTCAAGTTTAGCAGTTGTACACTCACTCAGTCATTCAACCATCTGGAAAACCATAGGCCTATTTAAGTTACCTGACAACAATTTTTAAGTAATGGAACCCAAGCTGGTGTCCGTCCAGAGGTGTAGGTTTATAAGTCAAACGTATTTAAAAAGCACACACACACACACACACACACACACACACACACAAAAACACATAGACACAAATAAAAGTCCCTATAGTATTTGCCAGTGTCAAATCAAGTCATAGTATAGCTCATAATCACAAATCATAAACCTCCATCAAGGGGCTTACAACACCCTCACTTTAGACCCTTAAATCAGACATGGAAAAACTCACCAAAAAACTTTCTTTGTTGTGTATACAGAGCAACATAGTAGAACTACAGCTAGGGACAATCGGAATATATTATTAACATATGCTGTGTGAAGGATATGATCCATGAGGATTTCAAACAACTTCCAGTGCCACCAACAGACCTTCACTCCACCATGAAAACCTTAAAAGAGGACTGGCTACTCAAACAGAGAAGAGGCAAAACCCAAATGCACACACCTTTCACACATATGAGAATGAAACAAACAGACAGGGGTAGAAAGAGACAAAAGCAGGAGAGGCAGAGTGGTAGGAGAGTCATCCCTCAGAGAGTACGTATGAGTGAAAAGAGAAAAGAGGAGAAAAGAGGGAGAGAGAATCAAGAGAAAGAGAGTCACATAGCAGAGGGTTAGAGAGATGCAGAGGTTTTGAGAAAGTTTGTAGTTATCTTGTTGGTAGGACAACATGCTACAATGTACATTCGCAGGCAGATGTAAGATGAAAGACCCTGAACCCACCAGGCCTATACATTATATCCCCTCGGTTGGGCTAGCCCCATACTACACAGAAACGTCAACCGAGACGTCTCTGTTGCCAGCTTTGCAGCTGGTCATAGCAGTAGTCAAAACATGAAGCAAATCAATGTGTGTGTGTGTCTGTTGGTTAAGTGGTGTGTAACTAAAAACATTCTCACGACCTCTAGTAACATGTCGTGACTTAAACATAAGAACATATTATGGCTAAGGCTACAGTTATACACATCATAATAATAATATTAAACATCCTGTCTGCTGACAGTCATCAACTCTTCTCTCTAGTTATCCTTGACCAGATGTACCCTGTAGAAACTCATAAGCATGACTAAGCATTTAACAGTCTAACTAGACATCCTATCTCCACTAAACATTTCTAATACATAAAGTATCTATCCAATTTCTATCTGACTAAAAATACCTAACACTAGGTTTAACCCTTGTGTTCTGTTAAGAATCATAATAAATTCACAGGAAATAAGAGAAAAATAAAAAATAGGAAAACAGGTACAAGCCCTGAAGTAGTCAAAGAAGAAGATACAAACAGAAAATTACAGTACAAAGATGAGTTTTAAGTTTGAATTTAAATGCCTCCACTGAGTCAGACTGCCTGATGTAGCAGCGGGGTTATTCCTGAAGGAGGGGTCACGATAGGAAAAGGTCTTGCAGCCTACTCTCTTCTTATTAACTCTGGGGACAGACAGGAGCCCTGCATTCTTTGAGTGGAATATAATAAGGTTTAAAGAAGACCAAAACTGATATGAAGGGACATTTTATGTCATTAGAAGCACCTATAGGGAGCCAGTGAGATGATGTTAAAATTAGTGCAGCATTCTGAACCATCTGAAGACTTTTGCAGGAAGCCTGAGAACACCTGTTACAATAATCGTGTCTGAATGTGAATTGGGGTTTCTGTATCTCCCATAGACAGAAATCTTGTTTTTTCAGATAAATACAATGAAATGAGAGCCAGGCCAGACATGCTACCCTTTTTACAGTCTGTATAGTATACAGTAACAAAGAGAATAAAAGTCATAAACATCTGTTATCAGGCTTGTTGCCAAATGAAGTTTCTTATGCTACAAAAGTTCAAAACATTTCAGCATGCGGAACTAAAGTGGAACGTTGCTTTTGGCGATCCAATCATATCTTTCTTTCACTTCCTGCCAGAGGTCACGCACACCCACGTGCCTTGCGTCTTTACGCATTTCCTGTTCTCTGCACCCCCCCCTCCCCTTTTCACCGCACCATCGCACCGTGAGGTAGATGTTTTGGTAAAAAATAGGGTGTCTAAACAGGACGTAAACACATATAAAACATGACATTTCCACCGTGTTGGACCTAAACGTTATATCAGGG